ATGACAGCTACAGGGTGCTGCAGAAGTATTCATAGCGCCTGAACTTTTCAGCTGCTCGTGTTACAACCACAAGCTTCATAGTATTTTTACTATGACTAGAGCAGTGGTGTCCAAACTTTCTGCCATGAAAGTGAACATTTATTTTAATTATTCTTTTTTTATGCTATTTAATAAACTGAACATTTTAAAGATGGCTGAGGCAGTAGTAGCTTTTATTTGCAGCAACTTAGGACAGGAAATGGGCAGTGAGGGAAGTGGGAAGAGATGCAGCGACGAATCGAACCGAGGACAGCTCCGTATATGATACTCCCACTTTACCACTACACCACACACCAACCCAAAACATTTTGTATCCAGTCATCAAATTTGAGTTCAAATGGTTTGTAAATCATAGATCCAAAACACGTTGATTGTTTTATAAAGCAATATCCTGTATTTCCTTTGTCTAGAAATGTATTTTTAGTTTATTCTTGGTAACAGAAACAAGTCACTCCTGCTTCAAAAACGTCTGCTTTGTTTAGCAAAGTTTAGGTAAATAACTTGGGTAACTAATATTAATGTGTAACTGGTAGAGATGCATGGTAACTGGTTTGAATAAATGCCATAGTTTTCAGATTTTATTTCCAAATATTTTCACGTCACAATCTTTAGCTTTGCTTTTAAGTTAATATCTCCACAAAATTCAGTTTTGGGTTATAACATAAAACATAAAGAAGTTTAAGGTGTGTGTGTATGAGTTGTAGTGATTTATGGTTCATCCTGTTTCTATATTTGCCCTTTATTGCATTCTGTCTGTGTATCTCAGAGATTTTTATGTATCGAGCCGATTTGGTATTGGAGCAAATCAATGTATTCCTCAAAACTGCATGTGATTGGCTGCAGCTCCAGAGTAAACAAGCTTAATGAATCCAACTTAGCCGAGTCTGACCTCTCCTCCGGGCACAGCTTGTATGCATGTGTGCGTGTTTCAGGGTCGATGTGCTGCAGTCCATTAGTGCTGCCTTTAAGTCAGCTTCACTGCCGGGGAACATGCAGTTTGACCAAGTGATGCAAAGTACTGTGCAGAAATATGAACAGGGCGTTGGATTTTGCTTTTGTTGTTTTGTGTCTTATTGTATCACATGGAAATGAACGAGTAAAGTCAAAATTAAGGTAAAAAAATAGAATTGAAAATATAAATCCCTTCCACAAATGTAAGAGTTGGGATGAGCTTCTCTAAGGGAGATGTTATGAATGTTCATTTTCATATCTCCAAGCTAACCTGAGAGAAGACCAAGACTTTTAGGGTCCAAGACCAAGTCAAGACCAAGACCGAGGGAAGTAGAGACCGAGTCAAGACCAAGACTTGACCCGCGCTACATGACACAATAAAATGTGAAATATGAATTGCTAATCAAATTGATATGAAAGATTCACATTCCCATAAAAACACCTCAATATTAAATACTTCCAGCAAGACAAAAAGCCTTAACATACAGCCAGAGATGAAATGCAAAGATTTAGATTAAAATATATTTATATGTGTGAGAAAGACCTAAAACTGATCAAGAATTTGTTTCAAGACTTTGCAAGAATGTAGATCATGCTGGCTTATGAATAAGCATCCTTCCCAAATAATTGATGACAGATTAAAGATGGGGTAAGCTTATATATGCTAAAGTTACTCCTGTCCAAAAGACTAAACTTTTATGATGACACGTCTGGTAAACATATTTATAAACCAGGACCTAAAACTTCCTCTTGTTGCATGCGTGCAGAAAACAAGCCCATCCCCTTAACAAGGTTAGGTGGTCTTGACTACAACACTGCTGTATATATTTTGCATAGCAGCGAACACACCAGTTCTGTCTTAAAAGAGTACCAATATTTCTCAGTCTGAAAACAGCACTTCTAGAATTAAAATAAACATAGTTGGACAGGTAAAAGTAGCTGATTAACATTTATACTAATACCAAGGAGTTTTATTCATTATTTCAATCTGTTATGCTAAAAAATAATAAGTAACAAAATCAAAATATATAGCTCCTATATTTATTAAAAATATGAAAACAAACTTATAAAATAAAAAAGTTTCAGTTTGCACACTTGCACCCCAGGACATTTATGCAGGAAACTTTATTTAGCATGCCTGGCTGACGTAGTTATGCATCATTCTGAGGCTGCCGCTACCACAACTTTCTGCAACAAATTATATTGATGTCTGTATTGAATAAAAACTTATTTATTAGCATTGTTTTTATGCATAAGTTTTTAAAGTGCATTTCAGAATCCAAGAGATGCAATATACATTTTAACCTTCCACATCCCATTCTGCAGGACATCGGTAAAGTTTGAAAATTGGCACCTTTGCTCCCACGTCAAATAAAGTAAACCTAAATTGATTTGGTGGGAAAACTATCAGAGCAACAATTAATACTATTTAGTTTTATGGAATGATGAGGTAAAATCTTAAACCATGGTGTACTATTAGTGTTTGTGACTGTAACAACTGTAGCTATGCAGGCTGCTGGAAAATTATAAAAAAATATTCACAGGTATTCTTAGTTCTCAAATCTGACATTCTTAAAATATGAACTCTACCTGTAATTTCTGAAGAAATGCTCCCCACTTCATGATGCTGCCACTACCATATGTCATGACTGTGTTCTTGGTGATCTGTCAGTTTTCTTCCACACATAGCATTTAAAAAAGTTCAGTATTTTTCTTATATAACCAGAGAACCTTTTTCACATATTTTCTGTTTCCCACATGGTTTGAAGAAACATACAAACAGGTTTTCATAATGACTTTCAGTAAACAGTGGCTTTCATTGTGCTACTCTTCCAGCTCCAAAGCTCAGGGAATTGATTGCATTGGATTTCGTTTAGTAAAGATGGGTGAATAGAAAAACTGCATCTTGAAATTATTTGTTTTAAAAGAAAGATAAGTATTATTTGATGTGCTACAATTTGTTTATTGCATGAAAATCTAATAAAATATGTTGAATTCTGCTGTGAAAATATGAAAAAAATTGGAATGGAGGTGTGAATACTTTTGTGAGGAACTTCATTTCTGGAACATCAGTTACATAATCATTGTGTAAACAAACTCCCTCTTATTCACGAGCCGCCATGTCTTTTTGTTTAACCCTCAAACTCATCAAGTGACTAAAACCAAATATCCTCCATAGTTGATCCTTCTCTGAAAGCACTTTGTACACCGACTTTAAAAGTAATGGCTTTCACCGAAAAACATGTTGGTGAATGTGCTTTAGAATATATTCTCGAGCAACCCAGCTCCCTGAGGCTCTGTAAGTGTCCCAGATAGAGCTTCTCTTTTCCATCTTTTGAAACATTTACAGTGGCAGACGTTCCGGCCGTCTGCTGGGGGTAGCATGCCAGAGCGTGAGGGTGACTCCACATTGAGCTGTCTGTCATCTCTTTCTCAGGTCAGATGCTTTGCTTTGGGAGAATCCAATTGCTGTTATGCATTCTCAATCCTCAGTAGTGTGATTCTATATCCTGCTTTTACACAATAGATTTCAGTTTAGGTCTTTTTTGACATATCTAAAATGTGGAGGCACTAACAGCTACTCGATTTCTGCTTGCTACAAGAAATTTTTTTTGGAATTTCTGAAGCATGTTTTTGTATTTCAGGGAGTCAAATCAAACTTAAATCACCCTGCTCAACATACCAGGAGGAGGTGAGATGGTCTCTTACTTTGGAACCCAAACATATGGGGTTGGGTTGGTGGTGGAGGAGCTGAAGAGAACAAAGCAGAAGCTGGCAGGCAGGCAAATAAAATGCAGAGTACAGCTGGATGTTTCGCAGCTTAAGTAATCCTAGGGGTATGTTTAATTTATCCTCAACAGTTTGATAAAAATCACATCAAAGGCAGCAGCACAGCTTGAGATGACTGCATGACTTGCAAATGTCACTTTGCTTGTGAAAACACTCACAAAATCACATTCACTGACTCATCAGTTAGCATCAAATAAATTATTTTTTGTTAGTTGCTCAACTTTGCTGTTGAGTAAGTTGAGCAACTTACTTAATTGTGAAGTAGTTGCGTTGGATGTCAAATATGGATGAGAGAACCAATAGGTCACACAGGATGACATCTTAGCTTACAATATGGTTCTACTGCAGGTGTCGGCAGACATGAAAACGGGACCTTGATATGACTTGCAAAGAAAACGGAGAAAAAAAATAATACCATTCATTATTAATCATAACTGAATGAAATGGAAATTTAGCCAGTGAGATACATGTATGGTTAAAGAAATACAACCTTAGCATCTGATTGTTGCAGAGGGTCTATGATAGCACCTTCATGCCTACTAAAATGTTAACAAACACTAACTATTTTGAGTCGATGCTTAATAGACGTTTTCTGATTTTATTGTTTTGAAGCAGTTGAACAGTCACCCATCTTACAGGAGTGATACAAATCAGCACATTTCATTTGCATGTCTAGCTTTAAGCTTTAGACCAGAGTGGCAGCACAGCAGACTGAATAAATTCTGAATCCTATTGGTCAAGAAACAGATTTAATCCAAACCACATTCCATTAAACACCCCTCATGTTAATAAACCAAAATAAACGGAATAATGTAAGGCCAAACAGTGCCTTATATTTAAAGCGGTAAAAAAGAATTTCACATTTTGTCTCATTACAGCCTCAAACTTTAGTAAAATCTATGTGGTAGATCAACCACAGGAAGTAACCAGAACAGTATTAAAAATTTCCAAATTATTTTGCAAATAAAAATCTGAACCTGAAACATTTGTGTTCAGTTTCAGTCACCTACTAAATAAAAATGTCATCGATATGTGGCTCAAACTGAGCAGGAATGCAGCCTGACAACCTGTTAAAAAGCCAACACTTTTTCCAAGCATTATTTTGCAATATGGAAGAAATGTGAGAGAATGTCGCCAGCATTCCTAACTTCAGAAAAAAAGACAAAAACAAAGCCAATTCTTTTCAAAGTTTGTCAAATTTATTTGACTGCATCCAAATGTAGTTAAAGGCCCTCTTCTGACTAGGCCATAAGAAGTTCACCAGCAGGAATAGGAGAACAGCGGGTACTGGCTCCAGTCTGCTGGGTTGCTGTGGGGACCCTGTTGGTTGCTGTAGCGGTATTCCTGTTGCTGCGTGCCGTGCTCCAACGTGGAGAGCGGGTGAGGTGGAGCATGGAGCAGCGGCTCTGCTGGATCTCGGTTCCTGGGAGGAAACGGGAATCTGGGGTACTCCACTGATCTAAAGGGAAGAAACAGATCTAGTAGCACGTTACACAGAAAATGCTTGGATTTAGTTAATTATTTATGTGAAACTTGTTATTATATTCTATCTTGATTGGATGCTTATTTGTCACCTACATTAGATTTTCTAACCTGAATGGTTGGTAGGCGGTGGATGCAGGCACCAGCTGTTCTTCACAGCCGTAGTCGTACTCCTGCTGCTCCACGCGCTCAGTGTGACTGCTCTCTGATGAGTCCTGCTCTGGGGCCCAGGGGGAAAGGTGACCTGCCTTCAGTGACTGTTGTGTAGAGGCTGGCTTCTTTCCGACCTGTGCTGACTGAGAGGTAGAGGGCATCCTCTGTAGGCCTGATGAGGAAATACAACATCTATTTGTGAGATATATTCATCCATGCTACCTTGTGGTCATTTCATAGCCTCAGGTTTGAATGCAGGTCGCCAGCTCTGGAGGGAACCTATTATAATCACAGCACATGACTAATTTGAGTTTGTAATCAGTTTATTTGGGTAAAATGAAAAAGAAATACATGCTGCGCTGTGAGAGGGACTTTTCTTGTCTTCTATGGACTTCTTTGCAGGAGAACCTTTATTTGAACGGCATCTGAAAAAAAAATAAAATTACTGTAATGTTAACAGAAACTCTTAAGGACACTTACAGGCAGAGGAAAATACCTGAAGAGGCATCTGTTAATGTTCCATAAAATGCCAAAGCATTTACCTTTTACTGTGAGAATGGGTTCCTCCTTCCCTAAATCCTTTTGCAAATGGATTGTGGTCAATCTTCAGCCTGGTAATCTGAACAAAGACAGGAGAAAATAAATCCCACTGAATTCCTAAGAAACAGCCATACATTTTGCAAAGCAAATTAAAAAATCTTCTTCGAAAGGGCCATTATTCAGTCTGGTTTGCGCACATCTATCAGTATGCGATTTGGCTCACAATGGCTCCAGACTGCAACAAACAATCAACCTACAGAGAGAACCATCAGCCATCACTTTCTCTCCATCCACGACTTGCACAGGTCAAAACAGGTCAGCTGACATCTCTGTAGGCTCCACACATCCTGGACATAAACTGTTTAGATGTTTATTTAGAGGTAAGGTTGAAAAATTGTTATTTGTGAAAAACAAGTCGCCACAGAGGCGTCTTCTTTCCCCAAGTTGTTTCTCGTGAAAACTAACAAGCATTTTCACATTGATTCTATGAATATTTGCACTAATTTAATCCTGTTTTCCTTTTTTTGTAAAAATTCTTAATATATGACACAAAATATCTCCCAAATATTTTATTTGTACAATTATATTTAAAGTGTCATGTAGCACCATATAACCAAAGTCAAATTTCCTGTTTGTGTGCAAACAAGGAATTTGACTACATACTTGAAGTATGTAGTCAAAGGTACTGTACATGGTACCTTTGGATTTTGGTAAGCAGTAACAGCAGTGAAAACCGTCTCTGGGAACGAGAAGGTCTGAAACGATCCCCAACACACAGTATGTGGACTGTCTGCCTGTATCACATGAAACCGTGGGTAGTAGCGATGCATGGAGTGAAGGATAATCTAAAAGACAAAACAAGGAAAGTGACAATAAGACACCCAGCATAATGATGTTATGTTTTAAGATTTAATGCGTGAAACAGTGTTTTTACATGACCATGCTGATCCAAGGTGTTGTTGGTGAGCTTCATCTTGAGGAAGGACAACGACTGCTTCATCCAGTGACTTCCTACAGCGGGGGAGTCCGGGTGAATGTATGACCGGCATGGGGGCTGGGGCTCAGACTTCCCTGCGACCTCCCACTGCTCCTTCTTCCACTACAGAGAGACAGATGGGGGGGAGGCAGAGGCCCAACATTACCACATGAGAGACCTCAGGATATCAGTAATTAATCAAGATGCTCAAAGTAGCAAAAAAAAAATAAAAATCCAATTTAATTTCTCTTAATGTTGGCATATTTCCAGGACTGTGAGGATACTTTCATTTTTCTAAAGGAAAGTAATCACTCAGTTTTACATCTTGATCTTCACAGACCTCCCCCAAAGCTCTCCTGGAGAGGTTTGATTTGCACCACACTGTCTTCAAGTGCATGTTGACAGCAACCGCTTCGACCAAATGGGCCGCAAAAAAGATGGATGCTGCTGAATGTATGGGATGGCAGACTGCTCCTCGTTCATCGTCTGTGAATGAGGCCGAGATGCTAATTGATCGGGCTTCTAGCCGTGAATGCACAAACAGGAAGCAATGAAAGGCTTTGATATGCAGCAGTGAACGGTCGCAGGCAGACAGGGCAGAACTGTGTCTGACTGCCAACTGCTGTCTCTTCTATTCTGCAGCCTGGTGGGTTACATCCACAGAGAGAGGAAAAAAAGAACATGCAAGAATATGATCATACCTTGTATTTGACATTGTCTGCAGGGACGATATCCACCATGACGACATAATTTGCAAAAGGCTGAAGCCCAGAAAGGCTTATACTGCAGTGTGGAAACATTCTCCTAAGATAAACAGTGTTAGAAGTTGCTTAAGCTGTTTTTTTTTTTTTTGGAAATGTGTTGTTCTTTAAAACAGAACTCAGCATAAATTAGAGTTCATTGGAGGAGCTCACTACCTTCCATGTTTGGTTATTATCATCTCTGTTCCAATGGTGTGAAAAGACTTCCATAGCTCCGAGTCCTCCAGGGTCATCCGGATGCAGCCTGGCTGGTAAGAGTTAGCGGCTGACAAAGTCAGCGGCATGCCAGGATTCAGTCTTGGATCTGCTGGAGAGTTCGGTAAGAACTGCAGAAATAAGTTGACAAGAAAAGTAAAAATGCTCATGCAAAGGTATATTAGCTAAATTTGTCATCCAAATGACTGAAATGTCTTTATTGCAGTGCAGAAAATTTTGTGTAATATGCAAAATATTTTGCAAAGTCTACTAAACTGGCATTTGTCTCGACTGTGCTTAAATCCTGATAAGTTTCTATAAAATTTTTATCAGGTTGGTAAGGCATAAAAATAATTTTGAGTTAAAGAGTTAATTATATTAATACTTTAAAACCAAATATATAACAACATCAATATTAATTGAGAGCATGTTTAAAATGCATATTCATCCTTTCAAAAATCCATCTTACCAGGGACGTTTGAAATGTTACTGCATCGCGCTGTTATCATCACCAACCAAACCACAGGGGAACCACTGCTTTCAAATATTTGAACAGGGTTGGGATACTTTAGGGACTTCTCTCCTGGAGAGGTCTGGGATAGGTTAAACTTGATTGGTCATCATGAAATAGGTGTGGTCTAACTCGCCTGGAGGGAGAACAGAAAATCAGGGAGAGGGTCAGAGGAGGCAGTTGGGAAAATGTGTTCTGTGCAAATTCAAACACTATGTACAGTGCTGGTTTTTAATAGAAACACAGCTGGTGACTTGGAGGTTTGTTGGGAAATATTGGTGAACAAACGTCATCGAGAAGACCAAGAAACACTGTGGACATGTCAAGGATAAAGCTGTGGAGAGGTTGTAAGCAAAATTAAGTTATATATATAAAAAAAACATTCAGTTGACTCTTAATAACTCTGTAGGGATGAGCAGTAGTGGAAAACAAACATTACTTAAGGTTTTGTTCTTCAAGCAGATGCAATGCATGGAGGAACACATTATCCTGAACATGCCGTTCATCATTGTAAAACAAGGTGGTGGTAGTATCATTCTCTGGGATGTTTTTCCACAATCTTGTCAGCATAAAAATTGAAAGATGGATGAATGGCAATCCTAAAATAAAATCTAAAAGTCCTGAGATTAGAGTGGAAGATCCCCTCCAGGTCGATAAGGAAATCATTTAGATCAGAGGACATTCTGAGAATTCTCTTCAATAATCATTCATTTGAAATGGTGCTGTTTTCTGAAAGCATAGATGACAAAAATGGAGCAAACAGTTGTTTTTATGAAGTAATAAGTCAAAGAGGCTGAATGCAAATGTCTGCTGCACTTTTAACATTTTTATTTGTGGAAAATACCTAAAACTATTTAGGTTGGTCAATGATATAAAACCCAACAACATCTTTTGAAGTTTGTTGACTCTAATCTAACAAAAAGTGAAAAAGATCAAAGCATCGAGAAACTGGAATATTGTAATGTATGATTAAATAAAACAGATATTTCTTTCAAAGTGCCTTGAGATATATGTTGTGAACTGGAGCTTTATAAATAAACTGAACCAAACTGAATACTCTTGCAAGGAACTTTATTATTTGCAATGCTGAAAATGCAAAGACTTGAAGTGATCTGAATTTTAAACTTTCCGAGGAACAGGAAGGCCTCTTCCCTGCTGCTTTGAATGTGTATTGGGTGCAGGATGTGAAATCACAGAGGGAGCTGAAGTTTTAGGTCTGGCCTTGACAATGGTTAACACTGCTTATCCTGCCAAATGGCCTCACCACATCCATCCCCCATGTCTGCATCCTCATATCTTTCAAGTATCGTGGGGGGAGAGCAGCCTCTCGTCTGCTTAAAAGCCAGTTCACAAGGATGGGTGAGAAGAGGAAGGGGAGAAAGGCAGGATCGTATGAAAGAATGAGTTGATCTTTATGTTAAAATCTTTACAGTCCAATTTAAAATATTTTCTGAAAGACTCACCTTGAGCTTCAGAGATACTAAGCAACTTAAAATAATTTATTAAAACATGGACTGGTGAAAGATGACTGATCATCCATGGAGAAGTACTGAAACACATGGACTGTGATTATGTCTCATTCTCAATACATTTACATTTGTATGCTGCTTTAATATTGAACGTCTCTAGAAGAGCTGTGATATGCATTAAAATTATGGATGCATTACCTACTAGTGTCACTGCAACCTTTAAAAAACCATCCTTTGGGTCTATTTACTTTTTCATAAGCTTACAGATGTGGTTGTCTGATTAAAGTAGACCAAGAGCATTCATCTAAGAAAAATTGATCTTTGTCAGGAAAACATTTCTTGCCTCGGGAAAGGTTTTAACGCATAAAACCAGATGCAGTTCTGTTGTAGCAATAAATTAGGTTCTTGTATGATTGCTGTGAAAACCACATTCTCTACATTTTAGAGTATCTTTTGAATTACCAAGGAGCTGACTTGGTGTCCTAACAAGAACTTTTGGTTTCAAGGAAAGACAAGTTGGAACATTCCTCTCCTGCCTGAATCAACTTTAGGCCTGAAGATGGAATTTGCTCTGTTGCAGCCTGTGGCGGGTGTCACCTCTTCAACTATGCAACCACATCTGCCTCTGCTAATGATGTTCTGTCAAACAGAGTAGGACTGTGAAGAAAATAAAATAAAAAATAAGATTGCTTCAGAGAAATTCATGAAATGTTTTGTCTACATTCTACAAACTGGGTAGCTAAATTGTGAAGATGAAACATAATTTTGTGCGATCCCATCGGTTACAGGTATTTTGTGTTATATTTATTCTGCATGCTGAGCTGCATCAGATAGCGCTGCACTCAAAGTATCTTATAACACAGGAAATGATGTGTTAACACATTAAGCTGCAGTTGGAAGATGTAGAGCATAGGTAGTGTTTTGGTAAAGCATCAAATATGGTGTGTGTTTGGTTCACCATTTTTGGATACAGTTTAAACGAAAACATTTGGAAGCTTCTGAAATGCTGAAATGTTCCAGAAAAAAAAGCATTTCATTTACATGAAGAGAAAGAGTGTGAAACCCACATCTCCCCCCAAAAAAACTCTGAACCACAATTGAGATTGGCAACAGATAATGGTTTGGAAAAATAGATCTTAAATGATAATTGATCTTAATAGAATAATGAAAGCTCTGAATGAGTCACCAAACTCCAAAATGAAAGTGACTTTCACTAAAAAACAGGATGTCCAACATATTTCAAAAAAGAGAAGTCCAGTGTCCAAAAGCTGCAGTTTGGAAGCTAAAAACATGAATCGGCACAGTCTAAAGAGAAAAACAGACACAAGCAAACCTATGCTAAATTAAAATGTTCATTGCACTCCCCACTTATTACTGTAAGCATAATACATCAGAGTAGACAAACACATTTCAGAGAACAGAAAAAGGTTGAGCAACCACAGAGACACGTCTTTATTTGCTGGTAATGCCACCTGCTGGAATACCCCGAACAAAAAAGTTTTAACATAGATTTGAGACAAAGGAGGATCAAACTGAGGTTTTAATAAAGACATTTTAATATGTTTTATACTGCCACTTTTCTAACCCCATCTTTATGATAGCTGTGCAGCCATGCTAATGCTAGCTTGTACATAAACAGGAAGTAGGTAAATGGCCATAGTATGAGCCGTTTAATTTTTGTAGAAATGCCAAATGAGACTTACTTTTCTAACTCTCTATCTTGAGGGTATAGCTACACTGCAAAGCTTAACAAAGTGGGGATTTTGTTATTTTGCACTTCTCCATAATTTTGTCAGCATTTCTGCTTTTAGAAATTGTTTGGCACTTTGTTAAAGGCAGTTAAGTTACGCATCAACCACCAAAAGAGGAGTGGCTGCAGAACCCCTCTTCACAGCCTAATTTCTTTTATCTATATAAGATACACATATTTCATTATAATATGTATTTAATGAGTATAAGTGACAGCACCTCTACAGAGCATAATCAGTGCATAATAAACATCAGACAGCAGACCAGTGTCTATTTGCAGCAGAGAAGGTGCCTATCTCCTGAGGTCAATAAGATACACTCTGGACAAGGACCACTCAGCAGTTCATTCATCACAGGGACACACAGCAATGCATGCAAACACTGTTCCGAAGGGTGAATTAGAATCTCTCGTTAACCTAACAGGGATGTTTTGACTGTGGCACATTGGCGTACATAAAGAAAAATTTGCCTACCCAAGCAGTTATTCCAACAATAATACCAGATAAAAAGTGTTAGAAAGAGTAAAAAACAATTGTTAGAAAATAATTAAGGCATCACTAATATTATGCAACATTAAACTTCAGGATTAGGCCTACAATAGACTTTGGTCAATTGATATAATTTAATTATTTTGATATGTCATGTCTTTGACTTTTATCCAGTCAAACATAGTCTGTCCAGGAAGGTTCTCACTGGACAGACAAACAAAGCCAGTTGATGCAGTGCTTTGGGTAGTTTTCTGACATAGAAAGGTTCTGGCTTAAAGACGTGGCTCAAAGAGACCTGTGAATGATGATGATGGTGTGTGTCACCGTGTTAAAAATCTTGTCGATGAGCACAGACAGAAAGGAGTGAACAGAATAGTGGAGTCATGCAATACTTTGATGTTGACATGATAATAAAAAACACAAATACCTTCAGTGTCAATTTGTGCATCAAATGCCGTCATATGTGCCACCAAATACTGGAGATCAAGTTGAAGTTTACAAGTGTCGCAAGAAAAAAATTGGAAAATTCTTGGGAAAAGAAAAGAGCCGTAAACATATATTCACATTGTAACCAGCAGGGGGCAGCAAAACATAGAGAGAACATGGAAAGAAGTATTTGTAGATTACAGTTGCTACTTTATTTTTGTGTAGGAAATTTATATATTTTTAAAAAATCAATAGTTTTACTGAATCCAAAAATCAGAAATTAATTTTTAGTTCGTCAAATTAATGTCATACAATCTAAACAATCAAATTGCAGAGTTATGCTAACATGAACAAAATATTTCTGCCTGTTTGATTTTTGTTTATTTTAACAATAGAACAACTGCTTTGGAAAAGCCTTACATATTTCAAGAAAATTCTTCCTATGA